GATCGGGGTTTCGTTGGCCGTTCGCGTTCCTCGCACCCGGTCGTTGTCGTCCGCTTCGTCCTCATCTAGCGCAGACAACGAGTTCTCCAGGTAGTTTTCGTCATCGTCGTTCCACCCGTCGCCCTCCTCCTCCTCGTCGTCCTCGTCCCTCGCGCCGTCTCCCCCACCGCCTGACCCGTTGCAGTCAGTCTCTGGCGAATGTACCCGCGTCATTGCATTCATCCCAGGTTCGGAGATTGGTGCTGCGTGAACACCGTTCACCGCGTCTCCCACACCCTCTGTAACCGCGTTATATGCTGGGCCCATGGTGCGCGCTGGTGTATCTACACGGATCACTAATGGTTCCTGAGGAACTGGCGCGGTTTGGGCCGTCGGTGGGACATCCGTTGGATTCACGTTAGAAAAGGGGGTTGCGGGTGCGGGAGGAGGCGTCGCGAGAGATGCGGGTGTGTGCACCATGTGATCTGGCTGTACACCGATGTAGCCATAACTAAACCCGAAATTATGGTACTGCGGCCCGACGTAGCCACAAAAGGGCATCCCAAAGGGCTGGGTTGAGTGCCCGGTCGCGGTCGCGTTTTGTTGTCCTTCAGTCTGAGTTCCGGGATGAGGCGTGAAAATGCGGGGCGTGTTCAGATCATCCTGTTGGGTTTGGAACGTGACTGACGCTGAAGCTAGTGGAATCTGTGACCGCGGTGCAAGGTGAATCCCGTTGATCAATTGTTGAGGGTGGAATGCAGGCGCACGGGGCCCAAAGATTACTGGCTGCACGTAAGGGGTGCTCCAGGTGGGGGTGAGCGAGGGCATGTTGTGCACAGGAGCAGTAGCTACTCCTGCAGCGTGGGTCTGGGGCACGTGTGTGTTGCCTGTGACATTGAGGGGGTCGTGGAGCACTGGAGCCGCAACGCGATCCACTGTATGCATACATCGTACAAGGTTGCCCCTACTCCTACGCAACGCGTGCGACAACATACTACGCGATCCCTACACTGGGACGTGTAAAATCTACCGTTGTCGCCACTCCTCTCGAGTGGGTGAACTATCGGCTCGTGTGCACTGTCGCGATCAATAGTATCGTGGTCAACAATCACTAACGCGAGACGGTGTTACCGCGAAACCCTAGTTGTGCCTCAGTCCGTCCAAATGCAAAGGGCAAGGGAGGGAAAGACCATGATGTGCAACTGGCGAGCGTAAATGAAGGGAGGTTGGGTGTAATGGCCGGTCACGGCTGAGACGTGCTTCCCACGTCAATAGGGTCGCGACTCGTCCAACCGCGACACCACTGATCATCCTTCACTGCGCTGCATATGTCGTCCAGCATGGCGCCTGTCATATCGAGCCAGGTGGAAAGCAGCGGATCCGAACCTCTTGTCGCACCGCGCATCCCAAACCTATCTTTGGGCGAAGTCTATTCGCGATAGCTGTTGTGATTTCGCCACCAATCGCGTCACTCATTTTCGCGGGCGAACGCGCAGTTGCGCGCGCGCAATTTCCCAGCTGTCAATTTAAACAACCAATCGCGTGGGTTTTCCCCCGAGTTACGTATGCATTGGTGCGTAAGAACCACATGGGTTCTTTCGGTTTTTGGGGGGTCGCGGAGTTTTCGGTGGCAACCTGGTGGGATTCACTGAGCCACGTAGGGCCGCGCAAGGTCCAAAACCGGTGGGATTCTGGAGGGCCGACTTCGCCCCACGCGGCCCCCGATACCTCCGCGGCTCGTATATCCCCAGGCGTGGGAGGATTTTTTTACGAGCCGCGCCGTATGAACATACCAACCCCGAGTCGCCTCGCTAATCTCGTCTGCCATGCCACCCGATTGGCCGAAACTGCCGAAGCTGGGCCATGGTGCTGCTGTTATCACGCCTCCCATCCGACCCAGAACCCTCTCAGGTTGAAGGTACACATGATGCCCGTTTGAGCCACTCCCGGTTGCCTTGTTAAGGGGGCTCATAAGCTACACTTGCATTTCGCCAGTGTTCGTAGGTTTCGTTACACTTGTAAAGTGCTTCTAAAAAATAATGGTAACCAGCTCATTTGTCTGTTCCGTAACAGTGTGGGTTGGCCACACTTGGCATTAGTGGGTGCTCTTTGTTACCAGGTGTTATCAATGACAAATGGTATGAGCGTCAGGCGAATGCACGCACGATGCTGACGACGTTTCGTCCACCCCTTTCGCAAGTCTGTACTCTAGCCTAGAAACAAGGCAAACCTGGGCCAACCTGGTTTGGTCTGTGATGCACGTTCAGTTTTGGTCGAAGCGCGTCCACTGTGCTATGCCATCCATGTGCCTGTACCGTGGGAGCAACTTCCCGGGGGCAAAACCTCGGGTGCAGCGTTTCCATCCGGTGCAAGGCAAATTCGAGTGCACGGGTTGGGCATCATGTGTACGGAGAAGTCGTAGTACAGTACTTTGTTGCAAGCATCTCTCTCTCTCTCTCTCTCTCTCATTTTTTTTTTTAAAGCGATCTACTCGGTTTTGCTTCTACCCGTGGTGATAACTCATGGATAGATGCCACTCCGCGTGACTCTGAGTGCGTCGCGGCCATTCTGACGTCAGAATCCATGATCCAGGCTGGCGCGACTTTGCCGTTTCTGTTCTGGCAGTTCGTGTGTGTCATCGCTCGCCCCTCATCATGCTCCTCCCTCCCTCGTGTGCTGTTGCCTCCTGCCTTGCCCGTCAGGTGCGGCGTTCTTCATTGTCGCCGCCTCGTCTGCATCGATCTTCCCGCCATCCCTCGCCGCACACGACGGCAGTGCTTTAGCCGCCGCTTCTGCCGCTCAGGTCGTCAAGCCCTGGAAAGGGAAGGTTTTGAGTAAGTGTCCGATCCGCAGCGCAGAGCTGCTTGCCTCTTGCTCGCGGCAAGTAGTAGAACACCGGTGGTTTTAGTAGGCTACCTCTCCAACTACTATTAGAACTACTAGCGGCGCTCTTTGCTCCTAGGAGCACCGTACGGAGCCATAGCCACCTCCTCTTCAGCAAATGGTTTTATGCTGCATTGGTTAAATAACTAATCCATTTGCATTGTTTAATTCGCTTGTAATTTATTTACAGCTTGATGTGTTGCATTGGTCATGTGTACCATTGATCGTTTGTTTCTGCGTATCTGCGTCTCATCAAAGGGCGTCTCATGCCGCGATGCCAATAACTACCTTCTTAACTCGTGTCCTTCCACCTCCTTTTCCTGCGGCCCTGTCCCTGCCAATTATGTTGCCAGTAAAGTGGGTGGCAAAATTGCGTCCCACTGTGGTCAATGGGAAGGTGGCCGGCGATAAAGGAGCATTGGGAACATATGTCATAAAGGTGGTGAGGTGCGTCTCTGCGCGATTGTTCACCTAGGACAGATTTGAGCCCATGGCTGTGCCAGGTAAGCACCATCCCCACCCACTTTCATTTCACCCCTGTTTCCCTTCCCAAACCCCCCTCTCCCCCCCTCCCGCCTTCCCCTCCTGCACCCCCTCCGCTCTCCCTCGCGGCCATTTCCTTCGGTGCCGTGCTTCAGGTACTAAAAAACAACATACTACTCCACGTATGTCCCTGTCGTTTGGAAAATCAGATCGGGAGGAAAGGCTCCTATTTTCAGCACCGGAAACTTTTGCACTGATGCCGGGACCAAAAGAAGTGACACATGGACCAACATCACAAGTGACAAGACTGGTTGCCTCAAGCACTACAGCTTTGTAGCCAAAGAGTTTCAAGGACCAAGTTCTATGGCTTACCAACGTAAATATGTTGAAGATATCTTACGGAGCTGTGGCGCATACGTGAGGATTGAGCATCAGAACAGCAAGCGAGCTCTCTGCAGGAAGATGAAGAAAGTGAAGGGTTAGTGATTGGCTTGCTTCGGCCGGCCTTGGGCTGGCTTGCTTTGAGAGTGGGTGCAAACAAGTGTTTATGTCGGATAGCATAGCACATAACGAATGAATTTGTGTGGTTGGACTACTGAGAAGGCATCGCCACCTAATGGAGGTTGCATTTGAGAAGTTGCTGGCTCTACTCATCTCATGGGGGTCGTCTTGTCTGAATAACCTGGGCAAGGGTGCATGAGTCCGCAAGGAGAGAGAGTAAAACCAGGGCCGCTCCTTGTGAGAGAAGTTTGTAATTAGGTCAATTTGCACATTCAACTGTAAGTTGATTTGCAGGCTGCGCTACTCCTGACATTCTACCGATGCCCCAGCAGCTGGCAAAATAGCAGAAATGACTCCAGAAATGGCTACCGCCAGACAAGGACCCAAATTTAGAAGATAGGCACCCAGCTCATGTAAATGCCCAATACAGCTCTGTAGCTTCTGCCAATCCCGTGTCGGTTTGTGGCGAAACGTCAGGTTCCACCACGCCTTCATTACAGCCGAACACGTGGAGCGTAAAGAGAATCTGGGAAGTCCACGTACCAACATGACACGTCGAGTACGGTGATTGTTCATGTTCCAGGCCAGGCCCCTGGCCTGTACATTCCAGGCAGACTGTACAGCTGCGCTTTCGCTGACCGCGCTTCGAGAGAATCAGTTTCGTCGAGGCTTTAAGGACTCCAAGCTTTGGCGAAGAGATTTTCGCGAGAATGTAACCTGATTTTCCATCTTTCGTTACCGAAGTGATCATGAGGGGCTCAAAGGTGGGCAAATGCATCCATGCCACAAAGCACTTCCATCCAGCAACTTCCAACCAGCAAATTTCGCCATCACAGTAGTGAGGTATCCGAAGGTCTTCGATTTCCAATTGAAATTGGCGCAAACGGTGGTGTGGCGGTGAGCTGACTCCAAGCTAAGCTGTATAACCATTCGTCTCCAACACCTACGTGTTCGTAAAACCAGGGCCGCTCCTTATCCGTGTCGTAGTTTGCCATCCCCGCTGATCAATGGCGTCGATTGTTCTTCCGCCAGCTTGCGCCGCGTCTCTCGCCTCGCGCTGCCCTTCCGCGAGCCAGCTTTCCGAATCCGCGCGTTGCGCAATTCAGCCACCACCACGGCAACGAACCCGGCCAATCAGGACCGTCACTGCAGTGATGGGCGGAGGACCAGGCGACATACACACAGTGGGGAATCTGGGCTCGCCGATTCCCGTCGCGTCTCTGTCGTCGCCGTCGCCGGGCAGAGCGCGACCGGCTTTCGCGATCGCCAGCGAAGCGACGGAGGGCGGCGCTGCGACGACGCCAGCAGCTGAGAAGGCGGTGCGAGTGGAGGTTCTCACAGAGATCGACGCACGTGGTAGGTTGCGCGCGGTTGGGAAGGGGAGAGAGGGGGGGAGGGGGGGTGGGGCGGGGAGAGGGGGAGTGGGGGGATGGTGGGGGGGCGGAAGGGGGGGCGGGTGGAGGGTGTGGGGATTATACGCTGATTGTGTGGGCGATTTAAAGCTTGAACCGGCTCTTCTTTCAGGCGATCAGCCCGCGACCTCCCTGGTCCATGACCCCTCCCTCTTTCTCTCCCTCGCCCTTCAACCCGTCGTGTTCCTCTCGCGCACTCTCTTCTCCTCAGCTTCGTTCCCCCCTTTCCCGCGCCCGTCGTCATTCTCGCTTTCGCGTGCAGGGCTGACGCGCATGGTGCTCCAGGAGGGGGGCTACGAGCAGTGGGAGTGGCAAGGCAACAAGGTATGCCCGCCCGCGGCGCGCGCGCAAACGCACGCACGCACGCTTCCGTCGCAAACGCAACCCACACACACGCGATTACGCATCTGCCCCGCGTATAACAGTCGAATTTCTCCTTCCTCGTCTCTCCCCCTGTCTTCGTGCTCCTGTCTTTACATCAATGACACCCGCTCTCCTTCTCCCCACACCCCGCTCTCCTGCCCCATGCCTGCCTGTCCCTCCCTTCGCCGCCTCCCCCACTGATGCCTCAAATTCTTCTTCATCCCCTCTTCTTTCTCCCCCTCCCCTTTCTCCCCCTCCCCTTTCTTCCCCTCCCCGTTCTTCCCCTCCCCTTTCTTCCCCCCCCCCTTTCTTCCCCTTCCCCTTCTTCCCCCCCTCCTTCTTCCCCTTCCCCTTCTTCCCCTTCCCCTTCTTCCCCCCCCCCTTTCTCCTCCCCCCCCCTCCCTTCTTCCCCCCCCCTCCCTTCTTCCCCCGTCCCTTCTCCCCCCCCCACTTTCTTCTTCCCCCTTCACTTTCTTCCCTTCCTCCCCCGCCCACTTCACCCCGTCTAAAGGTCAACTACGTGGTGGCGGGGGACGTTAGTAGCGACGCCACGCCCGTGCTGCTCATCCATGGCTTCGGCGCCTCTGTCTACCATTGGAGGTAGGCACGTGGGGGGAAGGGAAGGGAAAGGGGTTGGGGGTGATTTTTGAGTCGGACTTCAAAGCTCACGTCAGCAGCGACGCCACGCCCGTGCTCCTTATCCATGGCTTCGGCGCCTCCGTCTACCATTGGAGGTATAGCTGTGGGGGAACGGGAGGGGAAGTGAGTGGATGAGAGGTGATTGGGGTGAGTGCAGCAGGGGGCATGGCATGAGGCTGAATCTACTCTGAGTCTCTATGGAGTCTCCTGTGTAGGTGTCTACTCTCCTCTCTCGCATCACTCACACCCTAAGTATAACGTCCATCGAAAAACCTCTGATCACGTCTCCTGGGGTCGGCCTGCCTGCCCATGCCACTTACCTCGCCGGTTCCCTTTTCCCTTTCTCAGCGACCACCCTTGCCTACCTTTCCCTCCTCCCTTCTCACCTCTCCTACACCTCTCCCCCACCTCACCCCCACCTCCTCCCCACGTTTCCTTCCCGTCTCTTCCACCAGGTGCAACATCTGAGCTTGGGCATCGTGAGGCCGGCCTGTGTGCACCATCCACCCCCCACCGTCGAACTCATCCTTCCCTTTCCTCTTTCTCACCCCCCACCCCCCCTCTCCCCCCTCCTACTCGCCAAGCAGCCGTCTCCCACTCTGCTTCCCTTCCCCATCCCCCCTCACGCATCTGGCAGAACATGGCAGCCATGGCAGCTTCTGGTCGCCCATCTACGCCATTGACCTAGCCGATTCGCTTGCCGCTTTGCGCGCTCCCCGTTTACCTCTCCTTCACCTCCCCATCCCTTTCGCCCCACCAGGTACAACATCCCTGCCCTGGTAGCCACAGGCCGGCCCGTCTACGCTATCGACCTGATGGGCTTCGGGTGGATAGACTGCACGCTCATCCAATACAACGCTGCTATCCCACCATTCCCACCATAATCACACACCCTTCCCGCCAACCTTCCAACCCCTCCCCCTCCCCCTGTCCCTCCTTTACTTGCCCACCAATCTCCCACTTACCTTCCTTCCTTTCCTCATCCCCTCCCCATGACCCCCCACCAGGTACAACATCCCTGCGCTGGCAGAATCAGGCCGGCCTGTCTACGCCATCGACCTGATCGGCTTCGGTTGGAGCGATCGTGCTCTCATCCAATACAGTGCTGCCATGTGGGCGGACCAGGTCTCCTCTTTCATCCGCGATGTGATTGGCCGCCCCGCCGTGCTCGTGGGGAACAGCGTGGGGGGCTACGTAACCCTCACCACCGCAGCCAACCACCCGGATGTGGTAGCCGGTACAGTGCTTGTGAACGCCGCAGGGAAGTTTAGCGAGGCTCCTCCCGGCACGGCCCCGCTCTCCGGAGCAGACGAGTCTCCCAGCGAGCTTAAAGCGCGGAAAGCAGCAGCAGCGATGCCGGTTGAAACCCACGCGCACCAGCATGGGAAGGAGGAGCAGGTGCCTTTCACGGTGGTTGTTAAGGAGAAGGTGGGGGAGCTGGTGGAAGGGGTGGTGGCGGCGGTGGGGAAGCTTGCCCGCCGTGTTGTGTTACAGGTGACGTTCCTGCAGGCGAAGCAGCCGGGGAGGATCAAGCAGGTGCTAGAGCTGGTTTACCCGAATGCTGCGAGCGTCGACGAGGAGTTGGTGCGGTCGATTGTTCTGCCCACACGCGATCCCAACGCCGCCGAGGTTTACTATAGGCTGTCCACTCAGGTCCTTCTGCACCCCTCTGCTCTCTCCCTCAACAACCTTCTTTCGACTCTTCGCTCGTCTGACAGTCCCATGCTACTGCTGTGGGGGGCTCTGGACCCGTGGATGACTCCTGCTAAGGCTCAGACTATTGTGGATAATTACCCTGCGGCGCAGAGGGTGGACATTTCTGCGGGGCATTGCCCGCATGATGAGGACCCGGATGCGTTCAACCAAGCGCTGCTTCTATGGCTGCAGTCGAAGTTCTGACTGAACGTGTGTTTCGATTGATGTGCTGAAAGGGATAGGATGGTCTGGTTTGGACAACCTTGGGTTAGCATACCTCTTGTGTGGTTTACCGCTGTACAGACTCGTGTTTGGAATGCGATGCGACTCCCTAATAACATGGCCGTTAAACTAAAAATTAATGGTAAATTTGCTGCTCTGAATAGTGATATCCTGCTGCCGCCGAGTATGTGCATTGTCTAGATCTGCTCATCGCGCGGTCGGTATTGCAGTAACGTGGTCAATAAAATGATGTATTGTGAAAGTCTACTTAGGCTGACTTGCAAAGGCAGCGTTATCATATCATATGGGTTGTAGTACATCGTTCTCGTCATATATAGGTCTACATAACAGCATACACAAATGGTTGGGCAGGTGGGAAATTAGAACTACAATTTCGGAAATGAAAACGTGGGTGGGGACGAATGTCCCCACGTCCCTCTTTTGTAGGCAAAAGAGGGTGAGTAGCGCTCTGGCGCTACCTTTGCTGTGTTGGCCACGTACCCCTTTTCATAATACAAAAATTGAGAAAGCTTGCTTTCTTATTCTTACCGTATCACCCCGGATAGAAGCGCATGCCTATTATAAGCGCATGCGCTTCTACCGTATCACCCCGGATAGAAGCGCAGGCCTATTATAAGCGCATGCGCTTCTATCTGGAGCAATGCGCTTATGGCCGATCCTCGATTATAAGCGCACCCCCTGTGAAAACGTTACTTATTATAAGCGCATGTACAATTTTAAATTAAATTTTCTGTTCGAAACAGTAGCGAGTTTCAATTTTGAAGCGAGTACAATCTCAATTTCGCTGAGTTTGACTCTCGAAGACCTGACTGGCTGCGCGTCCAGTCAGGATGTGCTGGCATGACTGCAAAGTGTCGCATCTTGGCCCCTGTGTGCTGGAAGAGAATCGCTTGCAGGAGATTCTGCATTGTGACGCGAAAATTTTCGACTCGGTTGAAATGGCAAGAGTGAAACATACAATTTGGTGTCTTAAATTTATAAATTCGTATATGTCATTTTATAAGCGCATGCGCTTATAAAAATGACTCGATTAGAAGCGCACCCCCCTAAAAAATTCTGCTTTATTATAAGCGCATGTGCGCTTCTATCTGTCAGAATGTTATGTTTGTCTAGCCTGCAGTGGGGTACTCAATAGTGAGTACAGCCCAATTTAGGGTTTGCTATATGTACTCAACTGCTTGCTAGTGAAATCCCTCTTTCATTCATTCCTGTTTCTTCACATGGTATAGAGCGGGTTCCCTAGTGGGACCGTTTCTTCCCAAGGGCCCACCATTAATTTTTTTTTTTTCCTAACCTGCCCGAAGCACCCTTCGCGCTCTGCCCTGCCCTAACCTTTCGCGGCCCCCTTAGTGGCCTGCCCTGCTCTTGCGGCCCCTTCGCGGCCCCTACGCGACCCCCTCGCGGCCCCTTCGCGGCCCCTTAGCGGCCCCTTTCGCGGCCCCTTAGCGGCCCCTTCGCGGCCCCCCCTTCGCGACCCAGTCGCGGCCCCATCGCGACCCCGTCACGGCCTCGCCTCGGCCCTGCCCCGTCGCCCGTCGCGGCCCCGCCCCGGCCCTGCCCCGTCGCCTGTCGCGGCCCCGTCGCGGCCCTGCCCCCCCCATGCCCCGTCACCTGTCGCGGCGCACCGGGGGCCCGCGCACCGCCCCCGCGCGGCCCCCCAGGGCGCCGCGACGGGCGACGGGAGGGGCGACCTGGGGGGGTGGGGGCGCGCGTCGCCCCTTCTACCGCCTATTCCTGCGCCCTGGGGGGCCGCGCCTCGGCCCCTCCTGTCTTCGTCGCGGCCCTGCCCCCCCCCCCCCCCCCCCCCCCCGTAACCTCCCTACCCGCCATCCTGCCCTGCCCTGTGTTAGGGTTTGGGGGTGGCAAGTAGGGGGTGGCGGGTGTGTCGCCTCCCCTGCTCCTCCTCCTCCTCCGTCTCCCACTGCTGCAGCTGCCGCTGAGGGGGGTGGGTGTGTGGGAGTCGTTGGAGTGGTGCTAGGGGGTGGAGTGTGAGTGAACCTAGGGGTGCAGCAGGGGGTGTGTGAAAGGGGGGTGGGACAGTTTGGGGAGGTTGAAGGGGGGTGGCCGCCGTGAAGCCCGCAGCTCCAGTCGCCCGTGAGACCGTTGCGCCAATCGCCCGTGAGCCCGTTGCTCCAGTTGCCCGTGAGCCCGTTGCTCCAGTCGCCCGTGGGTCCGTTGCTCCTGCCGCTCAGAGTTAGCCGCGGAGCCAGTTACTCCAGTAGCCCGTGTGCCAGTTGCTCCAGTTGCCAGTGTGCCAGTTGCTCCAGTTGCCCGTGTGCCAGTTGCTCCAGTTGCGCCGTGTGCCAGCAGCTTCAGCTGCCGCCCACTACCTCCTCTCCTCTCATAGTCCCTCCTCCTCCACACTTGCCCTCTGTGATAGCCTCTAGCTTTACTTATTGCTGTGAACTATAAACTGCTGCTTCTTGTACTTGTGCTCAGATTGTGTGGTGACATTGTGATCCACCCTGAGCTTGTGTTTTGCTTGCTTGTTGTGCTGATTACACCCCACTTTGGCTATGGGGGTGTGTCAGAATGTTATGTTTGTCTAGCCTGCAGTGGGGTACTCAATAGTGAGTACAGCCCAATTTAGGGTTTGCTATATGTACTCAACTGCTTGCTAGTGAAATCCCTCTTTCATTCATTCCTGTTTCTTCACACTATCCGGGGTAATACGATATCTGGAGCAATGCGCTTATGGCCGATCCTCAATTATAAGCGCACCCCCTGTGAAAACGTTACTTATTATAAGCGCATGTACAATTTTAAATTAGAATTTCTGTTCGAAACGGTAGCGAGTTTCAATTTTGAAGCGAGTACAATCTCATTTTCGCTGAGTTTGACTCTCGAAGACCTGACTGGCTGCGCGTCCAATCAGGATGTGCTGGCATGACTGCAAAGTGTCGCATCTTGGCCCCTGTGTGCTGGAAGAGAATCTCTTGCAGGAGATTCTGCATTGTGACGCGAAAAATTTCGACTCGGTTGAAATGGCAAGAGTGAAACATACAATTTGGTGTCTTAAATTTATAAATTCGTATATGTCATTATATAAGCGCATGCGCTTATAAAAATGACTCAATTAGAAGCGCACCCCCCTAAAAAACTCTGCTTTATTATAAGCGCAGGTGCGCTTCTATCCGGGGTAATACGGTATCAATTGGCATCGTTCTCATTACAAATGGGTTGTTTACAACATTTGCATCACAATTGAACACAAGCTAGTGTGAGAATAATGAGAGGAATGAATGAACTAGGAAGCAGGTGGGTACAAGTAGCAAAAGCACAAAAGTGTTGTACCCTCTAAGGACTACCCCACTACAGCCTAAAGAGACAATAGCAGATAGAAGTTTGACACACCCCCATAGGCAAAGTGGGGGAGAACAAGAGGTCACAAGACCAGTCAAGAAAGGCAAAGCAAGCTCAGGGTGGATCACAAAGTCACCACGCAGTCTGAGCACAAGCAAATGGCCACAAGGCCAGTTCACATGCAGAGTTATATAAAGGAGAACAAACAATACAGTGAACACAACCTAGCAAGTGTAAGCTGTGAGAGAAGTAGGTAGAGTTAGGTGGGCTTGGGAGCCATAGCTTAGGAGCCTTGGTAGTTAAGTTCGAGGGTGAGGAGAGTGTCGAGAAAGTTGTGAAGGGGAATGAGGGTTTCACTATAGGTTCAAGGAAGTACAAATATGAAAGAAGTGAAGCAAGGTGCACCACCTAACAAGCAAGGTAACTACACTAAGTCTACATTGCAGGCAGTTATAAAGTGATGTATACAATAACATTCTGACACACCCCCTAACTGCCTGCAGTGAAGAACCATGTGCAGAAACACCCCCGGAAGGGGTACACCAAGTAGAGCGCAGCAGACAGAGAGGGCAAATGAGGAGGAGAGACTGTGGAGGAAGAGAAGATGCGAGGCAACGACTGAAGCTGCAGAGGCACGGGCACAGGAGCGGCTGACTCAGTGGCTACCGAAGCAAGGGCGACGGACTACTGGAGTGACTGGCTCCGCGGCTATAGACGAGCGGCAGGAGCAACGGACCCATTGGCGACTGGTGCAACAGGCTCACTGGCTACCGAAGCAAGGGCGACGGACTACAGGCGCTGCAGGCGACACGACAGCTACCTTCACACAACCTCCCCCAGCTGCCCCACTCCCCTCTCACACACTCCCTGTTCAAACCCTAGCTCCACTCCCACAGCACCCCCCTTAAACCCTAAACCCTAGGCTCCCACACACCCACCCCCCTCAGCGACAGCTGCAGCAGTGGGAGACGAGGGAGGGAGCAAGGGGAGGAACACATAACCGCCACCCCCACACCCGCCACCCCCATGCTCGGCACCCCACACCCCCAGCACCACGGAATGCACGGGGGGGGGGGGGGGGGGGGGGGGGGGGGAACGGGACGGGCTGCAGGTGCGGGCTGCTCCAGGGGCGGCCGCTGCAGGTGCGGGCTGCTCCAGGGGCGGCTGCTGCAGTTGCTGGCTGCTCCAGGGGCGGCTGCTGCAGGTGCGGGCTGCTCCAGGGGCGGCTGCTGCGGTTGAGGGCTGCTCCAGGGGCGGCTGCTGCAGGTGCAGGCTGCTCCAGGGGCGGCTGCTGCAGTTGCGGGCTGCTCCAGGGGCGGCTGCTGCAGGTGCGGGCTGCTCCAGGGGCGGCTGCTGCGGTTGAGGGCTGCTCCAGGGGCGGCTGCTGCAGGTGCAGGCTGCTCCAGGGGCGGCTGCTGCAGTTGCGGGCTGCTCCAGGGGCGGCTGCTGCAGGGGCGGCCGCTTCAGGGGCGGCTGCTGCAGGGGTAGCGGCTGCTGGGGCGGCTGCTGCAGTGGCGGCTGCTCCAGGGGCTGCTGCTGCAGCGGTGGCTCCAGGGGCGGCTGCTGCAGTGACGGCTGCTCCAGGGGCGGCTGCTGCAGCGGCGGTTGCTCCAGGGGCGGCTGCTGCTGGGGCGGCTGCTCCAGGGGCTGCTGCTGCA